TTTTGGCTGATTTGGACACCAAACTGAACTTTTTCAGGGTGATATTGTCAGAATCTTTGCAAATGATCAGCACAAGATTACTTGCGGTGAGTGGATTTCAAATAAATTGGATATTTCTCCTTTCTGTTTGAATTTTAAAGTGAAAAAATTTAGTTGTATCTCATAATCTAGTTTCTCTGTTTCATGACCTGTTGAGATTGATAAATTATAAAACCTATTTAATAGTCTTATCACGATAATCTTTAACTGCGTCAATAGTTTCATGCTTCACTATGAAACCATGTGACATTCTCATGTTCTTGTTTAAGGAACACTTAAATATAGGTTTTTATAGCATAGGCTTTTTTATATCACATGATACGAAGCTATTTATGGGGCCTTTTCATGCACGTAAATAATATGTCTCTTCAAATAGTCTTGGCCAGTCTGCTTGTATTTTATTTGTTTAATTTGGGATTATTCTGTTTGTGTTTGTTTTCTGACGAGTGCCATGAGAAATGCAGACGACGAGATGCAAGAGGAGATTGATACTCATATCTCTAGAGGACAGGCAGCATTTAGTGTCCTGATTCTTGTATGTACTCATTCTTACTACCTATAAAAATTTTCACGGGTTCTGTTCTTGAACTTCAGCTAAATTTCTTGTTGTTTTGTGTGTTTTCTGATGGTAGTATAAACAATTACATAAATATGCCTCTTTAGATTTTTTTTCTTGTGAGAGAGTACAACAGCTGCTTTACTTTTTCAGAACTTAAAAATAATCATAATATAATTGATAAATTTTTAGTTCTCTTTTCTGCACTAAAGCTTTCGTAATATGTGAAGTAATACATTCACTGATCAACTTCCATGATAAAATGTATTTCTGTCCATGGAACTTTTTAATAAGTCTTTATCAGATTGACAATTACTGGTCACACATGGACTTATAATTCTATATATATTACTTGTTTGGGCATTTGTCTGTTTAGAGCTTGTGGGCACGTTTTTCTGATTATAGAATTTCATTTTAATATCTGACAGTTAGAGAACTCCGAGAACTGGGAGCCAGCGAGTCTGCTCTTGAGAAGGTCAGGCTTTCAAGTTAAGGATGAGAGGAAACAGGATGTTATAATTACCGAGAAATACTCTAAAGACTTGACGGTATGCTATATTACTCTTTATCTACTTTAGAGAAAATAAATTCTTTAACTCACGGTTAAAGAATTTATTGACTGGACATTATGATTTCATATGAGATGCTATTTGTGCGATGGTAAAAGTTCCTCCATTTAAGGGGGGCTCGGCAAGATATGCAATTGGAATTGAAACAGCATTATTCATGGGTGGTTACTGAATAGGGATGTTGCCCAATTTTAATGCCATACTATAAAAGATTGGACATTTTTTCCTAACATCTTTTTTCGACTTTTCCTTTCCAGATCAAAATTCCGAGTGGCTTCTCAACGCAGTTTGTGCTGACATGTTCAAATGGGTCATCATATCCCTTCAGCACGAATAATGACATTAGGTAAATACCCTCCTTTAGCTTCATAAATATATTTGTCATCATTTATACTGAATTGAGCTGCTGCATTTTAATCGCGTGAAGAAATCTTACCACTTCACCGGTATTTCAGTTTATGCTTAGACGATTAATTCATCTTTCTGATTTTAATTAAATGGACGAAAGCAGTGAAGATATCTCAACTCATAGCTGAAGTATTTTCTGTTGGTTCCTTTTCATAACATTTGTTAATAACAGAGTTGTTATGATGCCTAAATTCTGAAGTGATGCTTCTTTGTGTGCTGTGTAGAATGAGAGATACACTTGTGCTGACAATAAGAATCTTCCAGAGCAAGGTATATAGCTACATTATCATGCTCTTCAATAGATTTTTGAGGAAAATTCCTCCTTTAAAAAAAAAAGTAAATAAATAAATAATTAGTGATCCATATAAATAAATTTTGGATGTTCAGTCTGACCATATCTTCAAGAGTAAAAAATCGAATAAAACCTCCATAAAGGAGACTCAAATTCCATACCCGGAGACTGAACCAGACAATGCTGGACTTCACATCTAAGTCGTTTCAATTTGTCAAATGTTCCCGAGCGGACCATATTTTCAAGAGTCCACTTCACTTTATGCATGTTATCCTAAAACATATAATCTCAATTGATTTTTTTTTTATTTTTTTTTTCAGAAGAAATCGGGAACAGTATTATAATTTATAGTTCAATATGTTATGCAAAGAAAACAAAATTTACTGATGCATGCCCTTGGTTTTTCCATATGTCATCATAAGCTTTATTACGTCTGAGTAACGCCGTTTAATGGGTTTTCCAATTTATCACAGGCTTTGGACGAAAAGAGGAAGGGCAAAGCGTAATCTGTATTACTTGATCGTGTTGTAGATGGTGTTTATAGCCTTTCTTCATTCTTAATTGCAGTATGAATGACTACAGTTTTGCTATATAGTGAGTTAAGGACTGGACATAAAATATATGTGAGATGCATTTTTTTTTTTTTTTT